TTCAATAGCAACTAAGGGATCACATTGGAGATATTGACTAGCACTTGTTTCTATTGAGAAGTGGAAATTTTGTGATTAATTTCAGTAGGAAAATTGCAATATGGAGAATATTGAATGGAAATGTTGTTCATAAGCAAGAAAACAACCTTGGAATTAATTGCTAATTGTATATGACAGTGTTGGAAGAATAAAGGAAACTTGGCACACACTACCTAATTCAATCATCAATCTTACATTCTTAAATAGTTTGTACCTCTCTTATTTGCAACTTTTTAGTTTCGTCATTTCTTTATAATGATTTTTACCATAGAAAAACACATACATAATTCAACAACTTTTAACATTAAAAGTAAAGTAAAATGATATTAAAATACTGCTTTTTATTTTAAAATACACATCTCAAAACAATATCATTTTAATTTACCTTTAAGCTTATATGATATCTTCATCCACTTTGCAGGGTCTATTAGAGGTTAAACAACTCACTAACTTTGATATTTCTAAAACAATTTGAATGGATGGATACCAAAGATTTCGATTTATTTATTTATTTATTAATTTGTATAAACGTTGGGTAATGGGTTTTTAAGCTTAAAAGGTGATAAATGACTCCGACGTTTTATGAGATTTTAAATTTTTTTTTTTTTTTTACAATTTTAGTCTAATCATATCAACATTTCTTTTATAAGGCTAAAATCCTTAACTAACTTAGATGATGTGAAAATATAAAGATAGGTAAAAAATACGTAGAAAAGATAATAATATTATTTTTTATCGGACTTATATATTTCTCTAAAACTTGAGAGAGAGAGGTGTAATTTATACCCAAAAAAAAAATTCTAATGTGTTTGGTTAGCCAAGTTCAAGAAAAAGAAAAGAAAATAAAATATTAGACTTGTCTAACTTTTAGTGTAAATCTTTTTTGAGTTTTAAAAATAATTTTAAAATTTTTAATTCGTATTTTTTAGTAATTTTTAAAATATTTTAATCAATTTTTTTAGGTGAATTTTTCAAAATTTTTTTATTACAAATATAATAATTTTTTAAATATATCTGAATTAAGTGTATCTAAATTTAAAACATAAAATATTCACATAAAATATTTAAAAAAATCATTAAAAATAAAAAATTCAATTTTTAAAAAAAAAATAGAGAGAGAGAGAGAGAGAGTTCAGCAAATGTCAACTTCGAAGTATTCCCTTATTTCCAAGAAGTTATCTGGTGGCTATATTTCTATCTTAAAACAATGAAACACAAAAAAAAAAAGAAAAAAAAGAAAAAGAAAAACTAATTGCATATCTAATACACTTGAATATAGGTTAGACTTATAAGACAATTATAACTTATATTTTCGGTCACATTCCTTAGAAATCTCCCACCACCCACCCAAGTTGGTTGCCCTATTCTATCTCTAACAATTATTAAGAGGAAGTAGAGCGATACTGTCCATTCAAAAAAAAATTAATAAGTCTTATTTTTAAGTGTCAAATCATAAATTGAATCATCAATTGATTTTTTAATAAAATAAATGACGAATTTTAAGATTCACTTCATTTTATATTTTAAATAAAATATATTCATAAAAAATCATGGATATAGTTCTTAAAATTAAAAAAAAAAATCTATACATATAATATGAATTTGTGGATGATGCTAGTGTGAATTAAATTTCTTGTTGCCCATTTATAAATGCTACTCATTTATAATCTGTTTATGAAATTAAAACAAATAAGTTTCAAACAAATAAAATTGGGCATGGTTGACGGTTTCGAGTTGAGCTTGTCAATACCAAATTGAGTATAAATTCCGTCATTTTGAAATTTCAGCAAATGTCAACTTCGAAGTATTCCCTTATTTCCAAGAAGTTATCTCGTGGCTATATTTCTATCTTAAAACAATGAAACACAAAAAAAAAAAGAAAAAAAAGAAAAAGAAAAACTAATTGCATATCTAATACACTTGAATATAGGCCAGACTTATAAGACAATTATAAGACAATTATGACATATCTAATACACTTGAATATAGGCCAGACTTATAAGACAATTATGACTTATATTTTCAGTCACATTCCTTAGAAATCTCCCACCACCCACCCAAGTTGGTTGTCTTATTCTATCTCTAACAATTATTAAGACGAAGTAGAGCGATACTGTCCATTCAAAAATAAATTAATAAGTCTTATTTTTAAGTGTCAAATCATAAATTGAATCATCAATTGATTTTTTAATAAAATAAATGATGAATTTTAAGATTCACTTCATTTTATATTTTAAATAAAATATATTCATAAAAAATCACAGATATAGTTCTTAAAATTAAAAAAAAAAAAAATCTATACATATAATATGAATTTGTGGATGATGCTAGTGTGAATTAAATTTCTTGTTGCCCATTTATAAATAGTACTCATTTATAATCCGTTTATGAAATTAAAACAAATAAGTTTCAAACAAATAAAATTGGGCGTAGTTTACAGTTTCGAGTTGAGCTTGTCAATACCAAATTGAGTATAAATTTCGTCATTTTGAAAGTACAGCAAGTGTCAACTTCAAAGTATTCCTTTATTTTCAAGAAGTTATCTCGTGGCTATATTTCTATCTTAAAACAATGAAACACATAATTAATTCATCTAAAATAAAAATAAAAACAAAAACTAATTACATATCTAATACACTTGAATATAGGCCAGACTTATAAGATAATTATGACTTATATTTCCAGTCACATTCCTTAGAAATCTCCCACCACCCACCCAAGTTGGTTTTGTCCTATTCTATATCTAACAAATATTAAGAGGAAGTAGAGCAATATTGTCCATTCAAAAATAAATTAATAAGTCTTATTTTCAAGTGTCAAATCATAAATTGAATCATAAATTGATTTTTTAATAAAATAAATGATGAATTTTAAGATTCATTTATATTTTTAAAATATATACATAAAAAATCATATATATAGTTCTTAAAATTAAAAAAATACATATAATATAAAATATTAAAGTGCAAGTGTACAATTATAGAATATATATATATATATATTAAATATAATATGAATTTTATTAATGTGTGTCCTTGAGACACGTGAAGAAATTTAAAAGTATTATTCATCATGAATAAAAATGAGTATAATAAATTAAATATAATACTTTTAAATTTAATCTATTTACAAAATTAACACAAATTTAAATAAGTTTCAGACGAATAAAATTGGCCGTGCTTACTGGTTTCGAGTTAAGCTTGTCAATTCTAAATTGAGTATGAATTCAGTCACTTTGAAAGTTCAATATGTATAAACTTCACAATATCTCTTATTTCTAAAAAATTATTTGGTGGATCCATGTTTCATGGTGGCTGTGCTTTCATGGAATTGGGGACCGTAGGCACAACAGGCATAACATGGTGTTGTAAGGCTCATTGGATCTTTGTCCCGAAATCATGTTATTGATTCAAACTTTTCATTGTGTAAGGTTTATTGGGTAGATTATCTATGAAAAAAATCAAATCAGTTGGTTATTTATAACCTTAAAATAACATCACATATTTTTTAAAAAATAAGCGATTAATATAATATTAATAATTTATTTTAAAGCAATTAGGACTTGATTTTTTACAATGATGATAGGTTCGACAAACCTTATAATATGAATTATTTAAATCATCAAATAGACATGGGACAAGTCTTCATGATACATCAAAACATGCATTATGTGCCACAAGGGACAACATGCACCTCATATATAGCGATTCCGATTTTGACCCGACTCGTTTGATAAAATTAAAAAAAAAAATACTATATATAATCCAGGTGGTTATGTGGAAGGAATTATTTTGTTTTGCATGTATCAACATGTATTAACTTCAAAGTATTCCCTTATTTCCAAGTTATCTAGTGGATCAATTCTACTAGGTGGTTATGTGCAAGGAATTATTTTGTTTTGTGGGAATTTCACGTTGGTCGTGTGGTTAGCGAATAGTTGGGGCTAAATGAATACATGACTTCCAAATAAGGAAATAGTGGAGAAATTATAGAATATTATTGGATGGGCACATGGACACGCAGTATTCCAAACTTACTAAATAATTTTAGTTGTGTGCCGATCTTATAACAATGAGACACATAATTAGTTTGCCTCAATTGTAAGAGAAAATGTATGAAAAATTAATAATATGGTCTCATACACATAGAAGGACAAACCACATAAAATACAGGTTAGTCCTTAGAAATCTCCCATCTCCAACAATTATCAAGGGAACTAGAGCAAAGCAATGTGTTCAAAAGAAATTAAAAAAAATTATAAATAAATCTTATTTTCAAGAGTATTAATGAGTCATTTTCAATGCATACAATTAAGTCTTATCTATTCTAATTTATTCTAAAAAAGTTCACTTTTTCTTAATACTATATTTTATTCCAATTATACCATAAACAACAATTACATAAACAATTTTAATTTACTTAAAAAAATATATTTTTTATTTGAAAAAATTGAACAAACTGCATCAAACAAAATCATACTCAACAATTTGATGAAAATAACTATATCATAGGATTCATCATTTTCTGTTGCCTTGTACTATGAAAAATATATTTATTAAACAATCTATAATGTCTGTTTTTTTAAATATTCCATTAAAGAAATTGTGAAAAATAATACCCTAAAAAATTGTAAACTTATTCAATTCAATTCTCAACTAACTCAGTAACATTTTTTCTTTCAACAACCATAATTAATGTTATCAATTAAATCAAATTAAAAAAAAAATTAAAAGTTAAGAATTCGAAATAAAATTAATTAAAATTACTTAAACTAAAATGAACACAATAGACAAAATGTAAAGAATATCAACATAATTTTCCCTTGGAATTAAAGACAAAGAATCACTGTTGCGAATTTGGAAGTCATGTGGCTGGTGGACAAAATTACACAGTTGCCGTGCTTGACGGGCTGGGCTGGGTTGCTCCACCACCACTACCATAGAAAGACTTAGAGTGTGTATAAGAATGAGTAATACATTTATTCCTTCTCCATCATCAAACTACTATCCTTCCTATACTCTCCTTTTCATATCTCTCCGAATCCTTCTACCTGTAAGAAAACAAAATGAGTTGGGTTATGTTTGTTCTTCATCAATTTCTTCTGTTATTTCTCTTGTCTTCTTCTTCTTTTTCTACTTCTGCACGCCATACCTGCCTTGAGGACCAGAGATTTTCACTTCTCCAATTTAAAACAACATTTACCATAACTGCTAATGCCTCTGTTTTTTGCGAATCTGATTCTCATCCTAAAATGGTGTTCTGGAATGAGAGTAGTGATTGCTGCTCGTGGGAGGGGGTCACGTGCGACTGGTCCAATGGTCATGTGATTGGACTTGACCTCAGTTGCAGCCAACTTCAGGGCACCATCCAACCCAACACCACCCTCTTCCACCTTCGTCACCTCCAAACCCTCAATCTTGCCTTCAATGACTTCAATTTCTCTACAATTTCACCTGATTTTGGCTCCTTTCCAAGTTTGACCCATCTCAACCTCTCTTGCTCTAATTTTACTGGCCAAATTCCTTCAAAAATCTGCCATCTGTCCAAATTGGTTTCCCTTGACCTCTCTTATTTGAAATATCCTTACTATTCTTCTCCGGTGAGACTTGAACAACACACTTTCAATATGCTCCTTCGAAACCTAACCCAATTAAGAGAACTAGACCTTGATTGGTTGAATATCTCTTCACCCTTACCTCATGCTTTGCTAAATCTATCTTCTTTGACATCTCTCAGTCTTGGTAATTGTCATCTGCGTGGGAAATTCTCAGAAAACATTTTTCACTTTCCAAACCTACGAGAGCTCCATGTATGGGGAAATCGGGACCTCACGGGTAAACTTCCATACTTCAATGCAACTAGTTCCCTTCAGTTTCTTGATCTTGGCGACATAAGTTTTTCTGGCCAATTGCCTGAATCAATCAGCAATCTTAAAGCCTTGAATATTTTGTACCTCTTCAACTGCAACCTTTCGGGGTCCATTCCAGCTTCTGTTTGGAACCTTACAAAAATCACCAATTTAGCCTTCTCATCTAATAGTTTCAGCGGTCAAATCCCCTCATCAATTTCAAACCTGGCAAAGCTTAATAGCTTGTATCTTTCCGGAAACAATTTGAACGGACAAATACCGGATTCCCTTGGCAACATGAGCCAACTTACTAACTTGGATCTTTCCTATAACTCACTCAATGGGACAATACCATCTTCGTTGTTTGCTCTGCCTTCACTGGTTAGTGTAGGATTGAGTAACAATAAGCTACAGGGACCAATTCCAGGATTAGTTTATGAACTCCAGAACCTAACATACTTGTTGGTTTCATCAAATAACTTAAGTGGTGTAGTGGATCTAGATAAGCTTCTAAAGCTTAAAAATCTGATCTCTCTTGATCTCTCATATAATGGTCTCTCATTGAGCATCAACAACAGTGTCAACTCTACCTTGACCAACTTTGAAACTATAAGATTAGCTTCTTGCAACTTGAGCGAATTCCCAAACTT